TCAACAGCCGACACAATACTTAACACTTCTATCTACAAGTTTAAGATTGTCTTCGGAGATATCAACGCTGCTTCTGAGTAAGTAATTATCCTTTGCAACTGAAAGACATTTAAAGGCATTGATTAAATATTTGTGGAGTTCTTGCAGAGATAGAAGCATGTATGAGGACTCAATGCTAATCTTAACAAGAATACAATGTAAGTCAAATTATACACTGCATCTACTAAAATAATATATGTAATGTATATATACACTAAAAAAAGTAATATGAATTTAGAAAATATGATAAAGACGCATTCACAATGAAAGGTTATCGGTGTAGAAATGTCTCCGGGAGATAAACTTATTTCCGAGCTGCATTTCACTTCCCTGGGTGGCCTGGCGAAAATAACTACGGTCTGTGGGTGGTGCCCGAATGACAGCGGTCGCGCGAACAGCTTCGGAGGAACCAGCCAGCACCAACCACGCTCGAGTTACGGCGAACAACACAGGGGAATGTCGTCTTATGCGGCGCTGTTGACTTGTTTGATCGTTTTGTTCAGAAAAAAAGTTATTCCAAATGTTATTCTTATAAGTAGTGACACATTGATATATAAAATTTGTGTTAATAAACATATTTCATCGTGGATTGAAAAAAGAAAATCTTAGTAGATTTTAGTGTGTGTGTACAGTACATCTATGCGGAAGCTTGAAGTTTTCTATAATCTCTAGTTATCACGTGCTGCCAGAAGGACGCGACAGTAAACACTCGCGTTATGAAGGTGTGTCCTGTGTCTGTTCATATTGAAGTAACTATATGATCTTTAGTAAAAAATAAATAATTCTTTGCTGATACAGTAAGCATGGTCTACATGAAAGGATATTGCAAGATTAAGATGTAGACAAATATGAATTTAGCGAAAAAGAAAATCGATTTTCTCGACCAAAATTACATGGGAGGAAGTTATCACTCTCCACCTTGCACAGACAGAATTACTCTCCGTCGGCTGTGATAGAAAGGATCCCATAGGGGCAGAGAAAAACACTTACATATTCTTTGTTTTCGGAGACCGTCTAGATAAACATGATATGCTATTGACTTAAATAAAACAAACTGACCGAATATACGACAAACGCCGTTGATTAACCCAATGCAGTCTCGCTGTATATAATTCACTCTAGTTCACTTAAATTAAAACTGAATTGAATATATTACAAACACCATTGATTAATAACATGTATATTGACCCCGTGAGTTGCCAGGCGCAACATTTCACTCGGTCGACAATCACCTGCCGAGCTGTGCTTTAACCCGAGTGACCCGGCAGAGTCATCAACTCGAAGACCGTGGCGGCCATCGACGAGGCGGCCGCCCAGGTGGCGCTGCTCTTCGGCGACGTGGTGGAGGACGTGGGCGACTTCGTGGTGGACAGGGTGCAGGACCTCCCGCAGACCATCGACCGCGTCTCGCAGCGCGTGGGCGACGCCGTCGAAAGCGGCAATGAGCGGGTGGGTGTCCGCGCTGCTCGTTTATCGGAAATGGTGAACGATATTGGCTTGTCAGGGGCATAGAATTCTTAAGATGTTTAGTTGTTTGAAGGGGATTTTTTTTAGAACAGTTGTTATGTTTGATTTTTGTGAATTGGCCTGCGACATATAATTCATTCGCCGAAGGAACCTTTTTCAAAAACGGTTTCTGGAGCACATACTTTGTTCAAAGCTTCTTTAACATGTGAGCATCTTTTTTTTTAGACCGGTTTTAGAATTTACTTGTTTCAGTCCCGCATTCGATCTCGAATTATTCAATTTCCTTTTCCTTTTTCCCTTAAAATCCCATCGGCTTTTGGCGTGCAGGTGGTGATCGTCGTGAAGGGCGTGAAGAGGAAGGTCAAGGACACCCAGAACATGACCATGGCGACCGTGGACAAGGTCGTCGACGCTTTCAATACGTCGCAAGTCGTGTCGAGCTTCCAGAAACTCGGTTCGTAAAAACGCACTTGTATGTATGTGTATGTCGACATATATGTGCTATGATATATACATCATTTCTATATCTACTTATGTCTGTCTTTTTTTATCTACCTGTCTGTTTTTGTCTCTATCTGTCTATCCATGTATCTGTCCATCCATCTCTCCACCCATCAATCTACCTGTCTCCTTATCTATCTACTTATCAGCCTAACTTTCGAGACTGTACAATATGACGAAGGAATTTCACATGCCTTCTCCTGCGTGACATTTTCCCCATTCTGCTACACAGGCGAGCGTCTTGCCACCTCCTTCACGCGCATTGTGGGATCCATCTTCAACAACATGGAGAAAATTGACTCGGCCGTAGCCCACAGCATAAGGTTTGCGCAAACTGTATTTTGTTGTCCAGTAAGAAATCTCTATACAAATGCACACATCGAGTTAATACTAAAGACTCATAAAGAGCATTTCGAAACTGTTGTCTCATCTTTCAGTAAAGTTTTGTGTGTATATATATATATATATATATATATATATATATATATATATATATATATATATATATACATATATATATATATATATATATATATATATATATATATATATATATATATATATATACATATATATATATATATATATATATATATATATATATATATATATATATATATATATATATATATATATATATATGCTGTCGTGTTCTTAACACAGTAAAGAGTTTTGCCATTCAGTTCGGCTCATGGCGATTCGAAACCTTTTCTTCAATGCGTAATGGCCCTTTTCCCTCTCTCTCACTCCCCATGCCCAGGCGCGTGTCCGAGAGCGCCATGCCCAACACAGACACCGCAGAGCAGGACACAAAACCGGAGGACACCACACAAGACTCAGTCCTTCGAGAGAATGAAATTCGAAAGTTGGTTTAGACTTGCGTCGATTTTCACTCACAAGGTTTTATTGTGTTAGCAACAGGTATTAACTTCAGTGAATCGTAGTACAGGTACAATCACGCATCTCTGTACAGGTAAATGGTACAACTGAATGGATGGAAATCTTGTTCTATCCGTTTTTCTATTCAAAGAATAATTTGCAAAGAACTTACAACTGTATTTTAGGCGACGTTTTATATGGTCTGTATGTTTGTTTTGTTTACTAATACCTTAACCTACAAATATTTAAGGTATTTATTTATTTTATTTCTAAATATATTAACCCAGGTGTCTACATTAGCTGTCAACACTTGCTTCAAGAAAAGCTAGAGTTGGTCTAAAAACCTTTGATATTTTGGCATTATATCCCGAAACATTTGTAAAATGTAGAGGAGAACAAATAAATTATTCAAGAAATACTGGTGATTTTTAACCAACCTTTGAGTGATGTTCCTTATCCACGTCTACGATGTCAGGGTAATGGCTCCTAGTTAATGGTTTATAAAGTCAACCATTAATTTTAGCAAATAAATGTGCTAGACATCAAAAGGTCGTGTAGCACCATAGGAAAGTGCAGTAGCAAAAAAGATCACGAGGGGGTTAATGGGTTAAATATTCCATGAGCTCCGCGTCAGAAGTCGAAATGTATTTTCGGATAGTATGGTACAGAAAAGGGTAGAGAGGGTTACTGGGCGGCCACACTAGTCTATTCTGTTATAGCATAATTGCTAGGAAGCTCACAGCTGATTGTCTAAGCGATTATTATTATATCAGATATAATTTTACTGTAAAAATAAGTAATATTTATTATAATGGTAATGATACCTTACTACAATAAAGGGGAAGGAAGAGGTTGGTGTATTAGTACTGTAGATGGAGCAGGGGGCTAGGCGTGTCGCGATTGGGAGGAAGGAGGGCAGAGGAGGAAGCGGCGTGCTACCGGCCTCAATTCGCGCAAGGTTTTACCAGGTTTGAATCTGACGACTGTTGCCTCTGACTCGGACTTGTAGGTAGGGCAGCCCCTATGAAATATTACGGGAGCCACCACAGTTGGCACGTGTGTGACTGCGGAAGGTAGTTGAACGATCATGGCCTGGTTGGACACTGAGGGCAGCGGTACAATGGTTAATGGTTACAAAGCAGAATACATGTGCTAGGCATCAAAGATCATATAGCACTATAGAAAGGTGTAATAGAGAAAAGAGTAAAGAGGGGTTTAGTTGATTATTATCTGTGCTGGACGTCAGAAGTCGTATAGCATTTCAGGAAGGTAGAGATTAACAAGGGATCAAAGAAAATCAAAGTTGATAAAGGAAGATGTGTGGGATTTTGCAAGGACGTCCGTAGGGTAAGGTGGGGATTAGCAAAGAGGAAAGATGCATAAGGGCAATTAGATCACAGATTCAGTGAGAATGACTGGAGGGAGAGAATCTAGTGAAGGGGGTTGCAGTGACAAAGGGGGAAGCGGAAGAGATAGTGTTTTAGGAGGGAGGGGGGGTGATGCGGCTGAAGCAGGGAGGAATGGGATGTGTTGGGAGGAAGGGGTGTAGGGAGACATGGGTAGGAGGAGGGTGGATGTCGGCAGTTACTTTGAGTGTAGAAGGATTGGGAGTAGAGAGATTGGAGGATGGTTGAGGTGTTGGCATGCTATTTTGGGTCATGATTAAATAGGGTTGAATGTCTTTGAGAAGTTCTGCAGTGGAGTCGGTTGGGGAGGTCTAAGAAATAAAGATTTCCTTATGGGGGAGGAGAGGGGACAAATGCTTGAGGGGTTGATGGAGAGGATGGGGTAGAAGATGGGATGGAGCGCTTAGCTTATCTTGTGCGATGAGATGGGTGAGGAGGAAGAGGGTTAGTCACCAGGGAGGTCGTGAAGATTGGGGTGTCGGGATTTAGAATGGCAAAATAATTCGACTGGGAGAGGGACGGGGTAAAAGCGGGATAAGGAAGAGATGCTGGGGGAAATGTAAAAATATCTTGGGAGGAAGGGGGAGGGGCAGAGCGGTTATTGGAGTAGGAAGTGAAAGAGAGCCCTAACCGACGTGCTTCCTGTCTGGCTTCGCGTAAGGTGAGGCCCACGTCTGAATCTGAGAGTTGCCACTTCAGGCTTGTAGGTAGGCAGCCCCTATAAAAAACATTATGGGAGCCGCCATAATTGGCACATGTGCGTGATTGTGCAGAGCAGTTTGATCGATTAAGACCAGGTTGGGCACAAAGTGGCATCGGGCTGTGGAACGGCAGTGTTTGGCATGGTGGCCTAGACGCCAGCAATTCTGACTCTGACGGGGGGAGGTCGATATGGTTGGGCAAGGAGGGACTCTCTGCCAATGTAAACATTAAAGGGGAGGTCATGTTTACGGAAAGTAATCTTGGCAATACTGGTGGGAGGTTTATTACGGCCTCTCGGGTGAATGGCATAGCATTGTACCGATACTGCATCCTAGTTCATGGGGCAGGCGAGTAAGATTTCTCCACAATCTGACCAATTTTTCGTCGTAGACAGGGCAGATTGTTGAGGAGATAGAAACAGTTCCGGTACAAGTATTGAGGGCAGGGTGAGGTTGTGCAGGAATGGGGTTGCCATTGAAGGGTTGCTAATGCTTTATTTTGGGTTTTGAATGTAACTGACGAGACCGGAACGATCGGGGCTGCCCCGGCTGCGGGAGAAAACTTTGCCTACTTTTTTGGAGACATTGCCGGAAGTGGAGAGTCTTGTTAGAGTAAGGGGCTGGGGGCGGATCACGAAAAATCGGTCCCATTAGGCTGGGCTAAATAAGAGTATTTAAGATGTTGGTAGAGGTGGGAGTAGGTAGAAGGAATAAGGAGTGTGGAAGAGGGAGTCGTGTTGAGAGAGGTATTGCGGAGAGACGAACAATAAGGCTGTAGAATAGTATGGGGGGGGGGGGGTAGTTGTGGGAGTGGAGATGAAGTAGAGGGTGGTGGGAGAGAAGGAAGGCCTCCTGGAGGTTGAGTGTTGATCAGGATGGATGATGTAATAGTAGGCCTTGGGGAGGGGGTAGTAGTAGCAGTGGCCAGAGTCGCGGTCAAAGGAGAGCCTGGGGTCGGGGGGACCGGGAGAGTGAGTCGGTGGGGCGATTTGATGAAGGGCAAGCCTCATTACCTAACAGGCCATGGTAAGCCTAAAGTATGTTGAGAGAAACAGTCCACCCCTCAGGGTCCCCTTGAGGGGTAAGAGCTAGACAACTAAAACAGGGGAATACCATGCCTGTGGCTTCCTCAGGCTGTTGAGGACTAGCACAAATTTAGCCTTTCATCCTTTCAGCACGGCTCTCCCACCTTAGAAAGTGGATAGTGGAAGGGGTTGGAAATTGTACGCAACCGAAAAAGGGGAGGGAAAAAAGCCATGCAAAATTAGATCCCCTCAGTCCTCATCTCGTGAGCCTCCCACGGCAACAACGGGCAAGGAAGGTGTGTGGGGGGGGGAGTTAAAAGCAAAATAATGTGCTAGACATCAAAGGTCATGTAGCACTACAGAAAGGTATAGTATCGGAGAGGGTAGAGAGGGGGTGAGTTAATGATCAGGTGCTATATATCAACCGTCATACAACAGTTGGATGGTATTGGAAAGCATAAAGATGGGTAAATGTGGAGAGGATGAGTGAATGGGTTAAGGCAGAAATACGCAAGGGGGATTAGATCAAAGGATATATACTCATCTGAGGAAAAACAACAGTTGTCAAAACAGAAAGTGTGGGATTGCATAAGGATGTCTGACAGGTGGGGGAAGTTGGCGAAGGGAGGATAAGCAAGGGAAAGCAGAGGTAAGGGCTGCAGTGAAGCGTGGACAGGACAACAGGATAGATAATGCATGAACTTGGGACTCAGAATGTATGTGGAAGAAAACTTTGCCTACTTGTTGGAAGAGGATGGTATTGTCGGTGTGAAGGGCTGTTGAATCACAAGAAATTGATCCCACTTAGCTGGGCTAAAAAGAGTACTCAAGAAGAAGGGGTTGGAGAGGAGAAGGAAAAGTAAAGGGGGGGAAGAAAAGGCCAAGCACAATTGTTGAGCCAAGAGCTGAGGCCCAAGGAAGGTGTGATCCCTAAAATAGGGCCCTAGTCTGCCTCTTAAAGGGGGTATTGATATCAGAAGAAAATCTGAAAGTGATGATAATCTAAAACATTTATACATTTCTGCAGTGATTTTCATATAAACGGGCTCTAAACTCACTCAGCATAAATATTACAAAGGACTTCCATTTTCCAGGAAAATCAAACAAAATATGATTTTCTTCTTTATTCAAAATCAACTTATGTAGTGGGTAGTCTCTGTTGCAATGTGTTACAGTAACTGCCTTTGATCATAGTATTGCACAATAATTTCCATTTCTTTCCCTCAAAACATCCAGGAGCCATTCCTACAACTTGCACCTTGAATGGCACCTGCACACCTGTGCAATTAATGTCACTTATATAACAATACTTAAAAAACAGACCCCACTTAAAGTATAAATAACTAATTAAACAAAAAAAAATCTTTAAATAAAAGACAACTCATGCAATTTTCAAGTCAAAGTTCTTCCCCAGTTTGGAGAGGAAAAAGAAAAGAAAAGGAAAAATTACAGTGATCATTACAATTAGTAACTGTAACACAAAGCTTAAAAAAAAGGAAATAATATTACTAACTAATAACAAGAACAATAATGGTTAATAATAATAATGATTGATGGTAAATTTATAAAAAACAAACAGTAACTAATAAACAATACTAATAGTAAATAATAACAATAATGATGATAATAATAATAATAATAATAATAATAATAATAATAATGACAACAACAGTGATAATGACAATAATATTAAAAATAGTAGTAATACAACAACAGTAATAAATAAGAAAATGACCCCAAATAATGATAAAGACAAAGAAAGCACGGCTCCACCTGACCCCACTACACAACGCAGCACCATGTGAGATTCTCCTTGGTCCTAAGGGTGGAAAGTAAGCATCCAAAACTCTAAAGCAAAGTCATTAATACCATATGTGAATAATCTCAAGAACACTGTACTTATTGTGAAATTGTGCGAGAGAGAACTTAAAAGAGAGTTGGTAAACAGTACACAAGAAACAAAAAACAAAAAATAAAAAACAAAAAAAAAAAAAGGAGAAAGAAAACACTAGAAGAACTTTTTGTCATTCCCAAGGTGAGCAGAACAGAGACAAGTGCAGAGAGCTAGAATCTGGAAACTAAATCATATACGATAATCTCTACATCCAAGTACAACCATTAAATACTTTGCATCTTACAATATCAAGTGCAGTATCACCAATTACCCTACATCATACATTTATTTTAAGATAAAAAAAAGTTAAACAGATTAAGCAGTAATAATAATAATAATAATAATAATAATAATAATAATAATAATAATAATAATATAATAATAATAAATAAATGTCAAAAAATGTTTGGAACATTGGTACCAACAATAAAGAAACTGTTGGTCACTAAAACAGAAATTCCTGCTTGCCATTACCTTATTTCTTTATCACAAGACAAATATGCCAACGGACATACCTCGTGAAGCGGGCAGCCATTGAAGAGGGCACACTCGTGAAAGATATAGGATTGTTATCACTTCCCTTTTAACACCCTGGCTTTTGTTCAAGAGAGCTTTTACTAAACACATTTGAATGTCAAGACCTTTTGCAATAAATACTTTCAACAGCAAACTGGCAGTGAGGCCTACAATTAACAGTATCATCAACATTTATTCTTTCACATTAAATACTTATAACAAAATCTAGCCACATTTATGTTGACAATTTCTAAATATGTTTTTTTTTCTGACTAACTTACAAGCTCTTTGTAGTGCACCTTTTTCTTTCAGTCTAAAATCAACCTCCATCTTTGAAAAATCAATTCCAAAAGGGCAGGCTCAGATTAAGCAAAATATGCGCATGCATGGGGTGCCAGAGGGGGGGGGGGGCACCACAGATTTTCCCACAAGCTGTCATGTCTAACTCTCACTGCCACACTCCAGTGCAAACAGAGCCGGTTCTGTAACTTGTAATTCTTCATATAGTTTATTTTTCACATTAGCCAGGTAAGTTCTAGTGGTCAAGAATAAAAAATCATTTATCAGAAGAAATCACTCGTTCACAAGAGGTTACTGTTGTATAAAATTATGAAATGTCGTATGTGAGATTATCTGACCTCGAAGTTATTTGAACCAAAGAGAAATGCGAGGGAAGCACCAATGCTGGGCTGCGCAAAGGCATCAACATGCCTTCATCTGGTTCTGTACGATGTGTAGATTTATAAAGCCTTTGTGAAATATGAACATGCCATTCATGTTCTCTTGTTTACATTATTTATACATCTTTTTCTCTATCAATTAATGTTCTATGAAGTTCTTGCATAATAGGACTGCAATACATTTTGGAAAACTGATAAAAAAACTTTACATCCAACTGATACAACATTTAAGTAAACAGATTATGGAAACCATACAACATATCTGTGAAGGATTTCAAAACTGATTTGATTGGTTTGCTCTCTCTATTAAAACCTAGCCAGTAAATGCCTCCATACGCGACCTGAAACCAGTCTATGGCAAGGAAGAAGATGAAACTAGTTCAACTTCTGGCTTGAGGCAGACTGTCCTTGAGCTCAATTACAATACACAATCCAAAGGCAATCCAGAAAATCCAAGTCACATATCAGGTCAAACTGGTACTTATATCTCATCTCCTGTCCTGTTAACAAATCAAACCTTTAGTTTCTTAATGGTGAAATACATACTAAAAGAGAAAATATTTTACCCTGAATCAAAAGAAGGATAAAACGCACAACCAACTGTAGAAATTGTAGTATTATAATATTTTGATTTTTGTAAAAGAGATTATAATGGCAACAATAGCAAAGATGATGGTGATGATAATAACCATGATGATCCTTTTAAGCACTAAGTCAGATCCAAACTACATCTCCCAATGCTAACCCATCAGTTTGTCTGCCAAAGGATTTGCTCTTTAACCTCTTTCATGGTGGCATTAAGTACATGGATGGACACGAAATTAAGGAAATCCACACACCTCGTCAATGCATTCACATACCAGTGGTAAATCGTGAGACTAACTCAGGATAGATCAGGCACTGTGAACAGATCTATCGGCTACATCTTTTAGTCTTATCTCCTGCAATTCACCAATCCCATCCATCCAGAATAATATTCTCTTATATATCAATAATATAATTTTGAATGATAATTATCTTAATAATAATAATAAACAACTGTCCCTAAAAATTCTATTTCAACTTCTTGTATTCGCAGCATAATAAAAAAGAAAAAAAAAGAGGGAATTACTGAACTATTTCCCAACAAGTAGTCATTTCACAATACTGGCAAATCATCTGATAACAGTTCGTCTTCTTTCACAATAAAAGTTGCCATAAATTATGGACAAGCACTCATATAAAATGTCAAGGCATGACAGATGTGGTTCCTACTAGTCTATTGTCTGTTTACTGGCAATCACTAAGTTCACAGAGGAAACACAACTTAAGAAACAAACGAGGGAATTTAGGAAAATAAGTATATTATTTTAGCCGACACGGAATGAAACCTGATTCACCTAAAGCTCTTAAGTTGACAGTACCAAATAACTACTGAGGCATTCTTGTTAACACTCTCAGAGTATTTATATATACACAGTAAATAACATCTTTAGCTTAGAGCTGACTGTACATGGATATGGCACTCATGGCTTAAGGTATTAACAGATGAAACTTGTTGCCATTTGGTCTCAGGCCAGCAAAGACTAAAGTTATAATGTAACAGCACCATATCTGGCATCAGTAAACAAAAAAATGATCCAAGTCTCTAAGGAAAAAAAAAATCATTAACTGACAAATAGTAGTAATTAAGTAGTAGTTCACGAAAAAAGCCAAGGACGAAAAGAAACTTGCAAACAACCTTACTACTTTGACCACATGTCCGTGTGAGAGGCCTGGAATGTGCGGCTGCAAAACCAGGACCTGTGAGAATGCTATCATTTACAATTTACACTGTACAAATAGAGCTAAACTTGGAAGGCTGAGGTAATACCCTTATCAGTGAAAGTAAGTTATCATTATGCTTTCAACAAACAAAAGCACGTAAGCTCACAATCTAAGAATCGTCAAAGTATATGCGCCCGGGCCCATTGTTTTTCAGGTGGCGGCGGTAGGATTTGTAGCGGCCCGACGACGCCATTTTCACCCGCCACTCCATGTCGCGCTCCTCCTTCCAGGCCTTGAACTTCTCCTTCACCCACAACTCCATGTCCAGGTACTGTAACTTCATCTCCTCATCTAAACTCTGCAAAAGAAGGGGCATCGTTAAAAAGAGGGAGGGAGGCAGGGAGAGAAGGGGGGGAGGGAGAGGGAGAGAGGGAGGGAGGGAGAGGGAGGGAGGGAGAGGGAGGGAGGGAGAGGGAGGGAGGGGGAGAGAGAGAGAGAGAGAGAGAGAGAGAGAGAGAGAGAGAGAGAGAGAGAGAGAGAGAGAGAGAGAGAGACAAAAAAGAAAAGGAGAAAATAAGGGGAATAGGAAAATTCTATGATAGGCAAATGTGATGAAAAGTGAAGAATAAAACCAAAATGCCCAATTAAATTATATACATAATTCTGAACATTAACATCAAAATTCTTTGAAAAATAACAGACTTACATCAAACTGTCCGCCACTCATGCCCATATTTTTCCGGATAATGTAAAGTTTCTCTTCATCTCCGTACTCTTCCCGTAAGATGCCGAATTTCCAAACCCAGCGGACATACCAGGAAATGTACTGAAACGTCCAATATGGAAGAAGCACTAGCTGCACCCACAAAATATCCCTGGAAGTCAAAGAGAGAGAAAAAAAAAATATGAGCATTTTCAAACATGAACAATAATCAACAATACAATCCTCAGTAAGTATGAGGAAACAATGTAAAACTCACAGAAGAATCAACAAATCCTAATATTAAGAAAATAAGTTCTGCCCTTTAAAGACATCAGGTGATGACCAGGGAAGGACAGACATGTAGAGTAAAACAGATGTTAAAAAGGGGACTGAGTGACAGACTAAGGGATGTGAACGAAAGGTAAAGCTAGACACTGCTTGAGTATCTTTGCCTTTGCTTTAGTATGACTTATTTCCTGCCTAGTCATCTACCCATGCCTGGGAAACTGTAAAACCTCTAAAATGGGACCTGTTGTTACTAACACACCATTTTAACCCCTATGATCCAGGTGACATGGTCCTCGCGTAACGAAAAAATTTGGCTTGAGGACCGGGCAACATGAACTTGCCATCAGGGAAAAATTTGGCCGAGGGATTGACTCGCCACGAGTGAGCAAAGCTCTTGGAGGACAAGAAGACTTAAAGGGCATCTAGGATGGGGCTCTTACTCTATTCCTATCAGTAAACAAGTGTGGTAAGTACCATCCACGAGCCATGACTGGAAGACCATTGGCACCAAGGAGGACATTATTTTCATGCTCAGGATACTATTCCTGTCTGCTGTGACTTGCGACACGGGTTGTATTACAGAAAATTGATTACTAGAGAGAGAGAGAAACAAAAAAAAGAAAAAAAAAAAAAATATATATATATATATATACACACACACACACACACACACATATAATATATATATATATATATATATATATATATATATATATATATATATATATATATATATATATATATATACATATTATTTATTATTACTATTGCACTGAATTATGGACTACCTATTGGGATGATATGGAATCTGTAATAAGAAAACAGTCCAATACCATCTGGACACACCATATCAAAGAGCACCATACACTGGAAAGTAGCCTACAAGGACACACACATGAGGGTGGCCATTCAAGTAAGGTTTCTACCCGGATTCTGGGCTATGTGTAGCAAGGCACCCAGATCCAGTGGGTTCAATGAGACCTGTTCAGGAGCAATCAAATTCAGTGAATTTAATATATCTACTTCCTTAACCCAATGGTGATGGGTGAAGAAGAAGAAGAAGAAGAAGAAGAAGAAGAAGAGAAGAAGAAGAGAAGAAGAAGAGAAGAAGAAGAGAAGAAGAAGAGAAGAAGAAGAGAAGAAGAAGAGAAGAAGAAGAGAAGAAGAAGAGAAGAAGAGAAGAAGAGAAGAAGAGAAGAAGAGAAGAGAAGAGAAGAGAAGAGAAGAGAAGAGAAGAGAAGAGAAGAGAAGAGAAGAGAAGAGAAGAGAAGAGAAGAGAAGAGAAGAAAAAAACTCTACGCTCTGACAAACAATGGCGGTGCGCCGGCTTTGAGCGCGTGAGTTTGGTACAACAGCGCGAATCACTGGCTCGCCGCGCTTTGGCACGCTGCCGTGGCGTACAGCCGCACGCCAGCTTTCGAGCGGTTTGTTTTCACGCCTATCGGCGTCACCCGTCATGACAGGGTTAAACTTAACTTGTGATGTAAAGAGTCTGGGCCAAGTAAAATCTACAGACTTCCCCCCAAATACAACAGTGATATTAATAATGAATCTGTAATGGCAACTGCAATAAATCAAACCTGCTACCTGTACGTAGGCTTCGCATACACGCCCCGAATGTCCATCTTCTTCTCGATGACCTGGCGAATCACTTTCTCCTCCTGCTCTCTGATCTGGTCCTTGGACATGCCCTTCAGCTTCTTCTTGTCCGTGATGAGCATTCCCTCCTTCTTGGCTATCTCAATGGCATGGATTCTGTACTTGGGGACGGTGGAGAAGTGCTTGATGGCTTCCTCGTATCTGCGAGAACAAAAACCGGGGTTTCAGTTTAGTCCTTATTTTCTCATTTAGGTATGCCATCCAAAGGCAAGGATCAATGCAAAAGATACACACAGTTAGGGTGTCTCCCCTGGCAAGGTCTAAGACTCACTTTGTCCATCCATTATAGTACTGAACCAAAGAGATGCAGGAAATGGTAACTGCAAGCACGATTCTGACGTCCACATGAGGTGCCATGCGCCTGCGCCACGCTCGGTATACATTTTGGTAGAACTGCTCGGGGTGATCAAGCATGTAATCGTAATCTTCTCTTGCTTCATCGTCCCTTAAGATGTCGTAACTGTGGATGAATATTAAGATTTCACTACCAGAATGTACCATGGTTAGTAGAAGGTTAATGCAAGATAATCTAAATATACCACGCCATCAAGGAGTCCATTACTAGGCTTGCCTGATATCAACTATTTACCCCATTCCTTGATTTTTTGTGAAAAATCATTATTGATTTATTATAACAATACCATCATTAACAGTTCTATTACCATTATCATCATAATAACTTTAAAATACAAATATAAATAAAATAAAATAAGATAAATAGGTAAGGTCAGGTAAACACAGTAACGGTCTCCTTGGTCACTAAGCACTTGCAGCTATAAGTAAACAAAACTGATATAATAAAACCAGTGGATGAGGAACATAAACTTGCACTCTAAGCATCAACAGCTAACAATAAATACTTATTGTAAAACTGTCTAAATGCATCTAAGCATGTTTAGCAAAGTTGCTCAAGAAAAGAAAAATATAAGTTTGTGGAGAGTAAATGAAAATCAAGGACATAATAAATGCAAACCTCTTGTATATTCACTAACATCTTTAAGCTATATAGATGAAACAAATTATCATCTGAAACAGTATGAATATGCAAGTCAGACCTTTAAATTAACCCTTTAGTCATGGATGACATGACGTATATGCCATTTCCCCATGTAATTTCAGTTTATTAACTGTGTTTACATGTGTGTGTGTGTGCAAAGTCATCAAGAATTCAAACTATTAGTCCTACTTATCTCACCTTTTACCCTTTTCCATGATTTTTAAAGTTTTTTTTTATTTACTACTATTTTTGGTACTCTAATAACATTACAACAATCATAATGTCAATGTTAGTAACACTCCTGATATCAAAAGCATCATTAGTAAGTCACATGGACCTACTAACGACCTCTGTGGTGGTTGACTTGTGGAACCATCCATCGACAACAAAATTCACTAAAAACCACAGTGGACAGGAATTACTCCATAACTGACGTGTTGATTAAAACCTCGTCATCTGGGGTTCCAACCACTGAGCAACAAAGCGGAACAAAAGACATACGCTGTCGATAGAAGTTGAAACCGCTCCTCGGCCACCCTCTTCTCCTCTGGGTCTTGAAATTTGTCCGGGTGGGTCTTCGAGGCCACCGAGCGGAAGGCCCTCTTGATCTCCTGCTTCGTCGCATCACGAGTTAGCTCCAACACTGAAAGAGCAGAGAGTAATTATTGACATAAAAGAAAGATAAACTAAGATAAAAGATTATAATATACAGAGAGAGAGAGAGGGTGGGAGGAGGAGATGGAGGAGAGAGAGAGAGAGAGAGAGAGAGAGAGAGAGAGAGAGAGAGAGAGAGAGAGAGAGAGAGAGAGAGAGAGGGAGGGAGGGGGGGGGAGGGGGGGGGAGGAGGAGGAGGAGGAGGAGAGAGAGGGAGGAGGAGGAGGAGAGAGGGAGGAGGAGGAGGAGGAGAGAGGGAGGAGGAGGAGGAGGAGAGAGGGAGGAGGAGGAGGAGGAGAGAGGGAGGAGGAGGAGGAGGAGAGAGGGAGGAGGAGGAGGAGGAGAGAGGGAGGAGGAGGAGGAGGAGAGAGGGAGGAGGAGGAGGAGGAGAGAGGGAGGAGGAGGAGGAGGAGAGAGGGAGGAGGAGGGAGGAGAGAGGAAGGAGGAGGAGGAGGAAGGAGGAGGAGAGAGGGAGGAGGAGGAGGAGGAGAGAGGGAGGAGGAGGAGGAGGAGAGAGGGAGGAGGAGGAGGAGGAGAGAGGGAGGAGGAGGAGGAGAGAGGGAGGAGGAGGAGGAGGAGGAGGAGGAGGAGGAGGAGGAGAGAGAGAGAGAGGGAGGAGGAGGAGAGAGAGAGGGAGGAGGAGGAGGAGAGAGAGAGAGAGGGAGGAGGAAGAGGAGGAGGAGGAGGAGGAGGAGGAGGAGGAGGAGGAGAGAGAGGGAGGAGGAGGAGAGAGAGGGAGGAGGAGATGAGATAAGGAGGAGGAGGAGATGAGATGAGATGAGATGAGAGAGAGAGAGAGAGAGAGAGAGAGAGAGAGAGAGAGAGAGAGAGAGAGAGAGAGAGAGAGAGAGAGAGAGGAGGAGGAGGAAGAGGAGGAAAAGAAAGAAAAGGAGAAGAAGGAAAAGAAGGAAAAGAAAGAGAAGGAGAAAAAGAAGGAAAAGAAGGAAAAGAAAGAGAAGAAGGAGAAGGAAGAGGAAGAATTAGGAGAGGGAGAAGGAAGAGGAAGAAAGAGAAGGAGAGGGAGAAGGAAGAGGAGAGGAAGAAGGAGAAGAAAAAGAAGGAGGAGGAGGAGAGGAAGGAGGAGGAGAGGAAGGAGATGGAGAGGGAGAGGGAGAGAGAGGGAGAAGGAAGAGGAAGAAAGAGAAGGAGCGGGAGAAGGAAGAGGAGAGGAAGGAGAAGGAGATGAAGAGAAGAAGAGAGGGAGAATGAAGGGGAGAGGAAGAAAGAGAAGGGGAGAGAGATGGTGAGAGGGAGAAGAAGAGGGAGGAGGAGGGGGGGAAAAAAGGGAGATGGAGAGGGGAGAGGGGGAGAGGGGGAGAGGGGGAGAGGGGGAGAGAGGGAGAAGGAAGAGGAAGAAAGAGAAGGAGCGGGAGAAGGAAGAGGAGAGGAAGGAGATGGAGATGAAGATGGAGAGAAGAAGAGAGGGAGAAGGAAGGGGAGAGGAAGAAAGAGAAGGAGCGGGAGAAGGAAGAGGAGAGAGATGGTGAGAGGGAGAAGAAGAGGGAGGAGGAGGGGGGGAAAAAAGGGAGATGGAGGGGGAGAGGGGGAGAGAGGGAGAGAGGGACATTGAGAGGGAAACAGGTGCAGAGAGCAGGCATTTTTATCATATTTCATCATCTATATCACATGAATATGCATAACGTACATTTTATTTGAGAAACCATATTCACTATGATGAAAAGTGCATTTTTGAAAGTGACGGAAATAACGGATACATAAATCAACATGGAAACTAACACACAGGTAACTAGTCTGTGTAAGAGGCTAAGCATTGATTGAGTCTGTCAATCACTGCAGACTGTCATTAGCTATGGGGAGAACCAAGTGGAATATTTAGTCACCCAGCATATCCCAAGGATGTTGAGCAAACCTTTTGTGTGTATGAACCTTGGCCAATATGTACAGACAAGAATTATTTGTATGGCATTGTGTAAGGCAAAGTTATGTATCATCATTTGCATAAATACTAATAGTGCATCCATAATTTGTATATTCATAGATAAATTGAATGAGAAATAGGTAAATACAACAACAGTAACAAAGAATTCTTAAAACCATCAAACTTACAAATACACTACAGTCAAATAGAACCCAGAAACCCCTTAGTTTTAGCAGTGAGCAAAACTCTTGTCAAGCCACAGAGAAAGTAGCTAATGCACCGTAAAGTGTTGCAAATTTGGAAACGGAGCTCAGTCACCTTCCACCAAACCTCTCTTTACAATGAAAGGCAATTTGAAATGCTCTCCCTACTTTCACCTCTGCCATCACCCCCTTTGCATCGCCAGAGACATTTCTACGGATTCGCATTCTTAATATCAGGATTCAGGTTGCAGATACTAGTAACTATTAATAGCATACAATTAATGTATGTTTTTTTTTTTTTTTTTTTTTTTTTTTTCTAAGGAATGTAAAAAGTCCATATAATTTACAAACATTGCTGACAGTCAAGGGGTTTACAATATGGAGATACTTATAATCAACCCAATAAACCGAAAACTGCAAAGCTATAATATAGGGAAGCGAATGCCAGGTACTTCAAGGATGGAAAATACCTTCCTGTAAAAGGGTTTAGCAATCCTGTGAGATGCCTAATTATCTTAACTGATCGCATAAAACCCCCGTATGCTACCTTAAGGAAGCAGCTAATCCGTTTCTTGTGCACAGGCCTTTTTACCTATCTTTGGACAATATCAAGGAATAGAATAGAGACTTTTTCTTAGTACATTAATAAGATAATGTACTTGCACAATTGTCTGTATCTATAATTACTTGTGTTAAATAAGGTATTTGTTCTGAAAAGGATGAGGTGATGTCAAGTGTTATCCAACTGAGGATAACAAGGAAGGTTGACAAGCTCCATCCTTCTAGAATATAAGCAGTGGAGGTTTGTTCAACTTGTCTCACATAATGGGAAGTGGGAAGTCCACAACATTAGTGGAGTTGATCATTTGAGCGGCAATTTGCCTTCTTCAAAGAGTGATTGCAAATTTAAATTTACTTGTTGCAGATTACTGTGTTTTACTTAATATCATCGCATTATGTATTTGTTAATCCACCTTTGTACGGATGAATTTTGAACACTGACCTTGACAGAAAAAGGAAGCTTATAATGGCAGGGCCACCAGATGTTGTCTGGTCCATATGCTCCCTGGCCTGATGTTAGGTTAGATTTGGGACGCAGGACCAGAGAAGTGCAGCTGCCCTGGCTGGCCAACATAACCATCTGGCTGGCCTAATGAATTTGAAACAACATTCCTATCCTGTAAAGAGCCTAATTTCCTGCACCTCTCTCCTGGAATTACTCCCCTTTCTAGAGCTATGCTGACTAATTGCATTACCAGAAGCTAAAAATTAAATAATAGTAACTATAACAACACATCTGGCTGGACCTACTCTGGGTGTCACAAATAAGAGATCAAAGGTGTAAAAAATTCAAAAGGGCAATTCTACCAGATAGCTCTTAAAAGGAACCTCTCGGCCAGAAAACCCCGAAAAACAACTCAATCTTTTGCAAAGCTGAGTACTGATAAAACGGATTAGTTTAGCAGCATCTGTCCGCAAGAGCTGGCTGCACTTTCCCTGGGTCTGTCAGGAAAAGAGGAACCAATACGTGTAAAACCCTAGAGTACGATCCTGCGAAAAAGGCTCTTCCAAGGAACCTCTCCGCCGGAATCCCCTGAAGAACGACTCGACCTTTCCCTGAATGCCACGACAAAAAAAAAAGGCTTTCTTTGGCAGTGCCTGTTAATATGATCTGCATGGAAAGGGGTTCTATCTTATCTTTGTTGTTATTATTTTTCCACGGTAGATATCGCCTCCCCGTTTGAAACAGACCTACGACGGCACATTGCAAAGATTCAAATCAATTCCCTGAACCTCTTGGGGTTCGACCTCCCCTGGGCCTTCAGCCTAAAATTCCTGAACTCAGCTCTATGCAAATCTCGCTCCCACAAGTGTCAGGCCGCTAATCTACGTGTGAATAGGACACCTACACTAAACCGCGTCCGCCTTCGAGCAGGTGGCGTGCAGGGGTCGGGCGCCACGAATACCCACAGGTGTTCCCCCTCGGCGCCACGGCACAGCGCCTCGGCCGCCGGGTGGCCTCGCGCCCTGCCCTGGCACTGCCGCCGCCGAGGCCGAGGACACCTGTGCTGCCCTCGGCCCTCGGGTGACGCAAGACCAGCGTGCTGAGGGCGCCCTGGACAGCCAAAAAACGTAAACATTGGTTCGGATTTGCGAGTGGGGCCCGCGGGTCCCTCCGGCGCGCCGCGACTTACGCTCATAACAGTTGTGCTCGCCGCAGTAGTAATCCTCCACGTAGGCGCTGGACGGCTGTAATGCAATACATGACAGGTAGAGCAGCAGGACCCACAGCATTGCTCCCTCGTCGGCGGTCGGGCGGCGACTGAGTGTCACGGCATCGACGGCCGGCGGTGTTGCCACGTTGCGCTGTTGCCACGTCGCGCTGCCTCGCTGGAAGGGGTAACAACTTTATTCTATTTTTTGCTCACTGTCTCTCGTCTAACTGGATGTTACATTTATTTCTGAGAATTTGTATCGTGAGAAAGGGTTTATGTAGATGTTAATGTCACAAAGCGAGAGATTTTTTTGACTTTTAAGGATATTGTGTAGGTTTGAATATCATCTGTATATTATCAACTGTTATTATATAGCATGATATAAATGTTAATATCTTCTTAATTTGCTTAAATTTACCCATATTATAAATATGCGAAAGTTGAAAGACCATTTAGAAGCATGCTTTCCTCAGAGTACAACACCATCTGGTAGCACTTCAATTTCCATCAGTCAGTGATCTCAAGAACGCTTTTACGATTCCAAAGA